CAAAAAGGATGACGGATCCTCTTGCGGAAACCACAAAGGAATAAAGGCAACCAACATCGTCTCTAAACTCCTCGTCGGCACTATACACCACCGATTATCTGCCGCACGTGAACGATGGACGCGTGATTTAGACTCAGTCGAACGCACTACATTCTGGCAACGCACGTCCTCGAAGGCAATAAAAACGATCTGCTTAGAAAGCGAGTAGATGCACGACCACCACTCAACTCAATATCCTCAAATATCGATTAGGTTGTTCACAAGATCCCAAACCAGGAAGCCTGATGAGAACTATGTGCCCGAGAGTCTTGATAAGGGTTTTCATACCCCTTGCTGGAAAAATTAATTCAACCATGAACTGAAGACGGCTACGATGAATAACTAGAACCTTCTGAAACAGGTAGCCCTTGCAGAACACATCAATCACACACTAGAAAGACGGACAAAAAGTGAATTGATAACGAATGAAAATGAAAAAGGGTTGATTTGATAGTTGTACAGTGTAAGCAATTGTGAACAAAAGGTTTTGAGTTTATGAGCTGCAAGTGTTGCGAGATACTACGCATTTGTGAGTAGTACGCAAAAAGATGCGATTAGCGGCTTCAAAAATGAACAAGACCTTTTGGAGCAAACTGCTGCTGTTCGGTATGGTGAATACAAGAATGCGCATCTGATAGTGGACGCTTCCATCAGCTTTTCTGTGTGCGGGGATTCTGCAAACCTTTTCCAAATGAGGTATTTTGTGGTATGAATGACAGTTATTGGCAATAAACAACTATCTTCGACCAGCACAGACTTCTGGAATTATAACACAAATACAACTATCTCAAGCAGATCCTGGAGAATGATACTTTTGAGAATGAACTCTCTCATGCGCGCATAGCAGCGAAATAGTAAAAAAACATCAAGAAAAAAACTGACTAACCGGGACCCTCGAACAACCATTTCTGGCCGGCGACTCGATGTACTCCGTCCTCGTCCACAAAATCCATTAAGGCTTCGAGGCAAAAGGCTTCATTGGTCATAACCACTGGTAACTTTTTAACACTTTTCTTGAGTGTTTCGCCAGGATAAAGTGGAAAAGGATCTTGATGAAACCGACACTCTGTGTCGCCAAGACGTAGTTTTACTTGGCCACTTATGTCCAACACTGGTTCGCCTGGTTCATTCCTCATGATTGGATTTTCTATAACACAGTAATGCATTGGAGGCACGCTTATCATATCCTTGGGTTCGAGAACAATTCTGTGGCAAAAGTATGAGAAATAAAGAATAAAGGACGTACTTTTCATCCTGCAAGCAAACATATGTACGGGGGCCAAGAATCAACCGCGTGACATTTGTATTATGATTTAACACGTGTATGTATTGATAGTTTCCTATCCGAATCACCGTGCTCTGGTCCTCAGCGTTGCGCACCATGGTAGAGAGACGAAGGGCTGGAAGATCGAAACCCGCATTAGAGATCATTTATTCAAAATAAAAGAGCATTTAAGCCATGTTAGGCTGTTACATCAGACAGCGTAATTATCTACCTGGGGGGAGGGGTAATACATAATATATTTGGATTCCTTCCAGGAAATCATAGCTTTGTTTGTTCGCCTATTCAAAGAGATAGTCACTCTAGAATAGCTAAAGATTTCCGGTACACAGAATTCTGGCAGACAACAAAGTCTGAACGCTCCGACATGCTCTCTTGAAGGTCCGCAATTCGTTGATTGGGCAACGACAGAGCACCATCATGCCTACCAAAGGCCAACAATCATTGTGCTTAGACATCCGCGCGACCTTCGACTCGGTCGACAGGATCGCATTACGGAATTGTCTGTTGAGGAATAGAGCACCTGTGAAGTATGTGTCAATCCCCAAGGAGTTGTATCATCATACCTCAGGTCGGGTTAGGGCCTATGGTCAACTTTTGTCACCCTTTACCGTATCCAGTGAAGCTCGACATGGTTGCCCTATATCCTCTATCCTTTTCAACTTTGTAATACATGATGTGCTACAGAACGCATTTTTTGGTCTAGAAAAGGGTGGAATTGAACTCCTCCTAGTGAACAGAGTTCTTGACTTCGAACATGTCGATGTTATCGCCTTGATGAGTGATAACAAACAGGCAAACCAACACGCTTTGAACCGCTTAGGGATAGAGGTATCGAGGTACGGTATGCGCCTTGCGTCGTTCAAATGCAAAGTGCTTGTACAAAAATGGCAGCAGCCTGTGCCTGCACTCGCCTGCCGTCGTGATCAGCTGGAAGTAGTTGAGGGCTTTAAGTACCTCGGGAGATTGATCGCGGTAAGTGGTGGTGTTGGAAAGGAGATCGCATCACGAATAGCGAAAGCTAGAGCAGCATTCACCAACTAGCGACACCTGTTGCACCATCATGACATTCGACGGTCCCTTAAGAGGAGGGGGTACATCGCCGCGGACCGTAGCGTGCTACTTTGCGTTTACCAGACCTGTATTATATGGGAAACTTTCCGTATAAGCCTCGAGGCTTATACGGGAAGTTTCCCAGTGTTCTTAATTTACGAACACTAAACACAAATCCATTTATGAGAGCAGCTCTATTTACCATTATCCGAAGATGAGTGAATTTTATAGAAAATTTGGACCCTGTGGGGCTTATTTAGAAATGTCTTTTGTTTGTGAAAAACAAATTATAAAATGGGTATAAGTATTGGCAAAATACTTGTATCTCTAACCAACGAGCGGCACCTCACATGTCGGACGTGTATATATACGTATATACATACATATAGACAGAGACAAAGATAGACATATATACGCATGCAAGTGAATACCAGTAGAAAAATGCGACTAAACAATTCCGAATTACAATATTTTGACCAATTTATAAGTACAGCGAGATTTAGCGAGTCACCTGAAGGTCACTTGGGGTAGCGCAATGCAATCAAAATTTCAGTCAGTCAGGTCAGCTCAGTCA